AAATATTGGCTGAATTCCTCCAACGGGTTTTTGTGTAGCCCACTGTAGGGCACTTCTTTCTCCTATATTATGCCAAGAAGTGAATATTTCCTGTATTTCACTGGAGATTAGTTTACCTGATGAACCTTCAAGCCCAGTTATCAGAGAAAATTATGACTCTGTGGATGTAAAACATTTGATTTTTATTAGAGTGTTACTAGTACCATTCTAAATGTGAGAGCCAGATTATTTGCAATCTGGAGGAATTTTTTTTTTCCTGCTTTCTAAGTAATGTAATAATCTTTTCTTTCTTTCTTTCTTTCTTTCTTTCTTTCTTTCTTTCTTTCTTTCTTTCTCTTTCTTTCTTTCTTTCTTCTTTCTTTCTTTCTTTCTTTTCTTTTCTTTTCTTTTCTTTCTTTTTTTTTTTTTTTTTTGTACCAGGGATTGAAGCCAAAGGCATTTAAACACTGAGCCACATTCCCAGCCTCTTTTTATATTTTATTAGAGACAGGGTCTCCCCAAGTTGCTTAGGATGTCACTAAATTGCTGAGACTGGGTTTGAGCTTGTGACCTTCTGCCTCAAACCCCCCAAATCACTGGGATTATAGGCATGTGCCACTACATCTGGCTCCACATACGTTTTGCAGCATTTTTTTTTCATTTTCTTTATAATACAGAGAATCAGTAATTCAGACAGATCTTAATTTGATTTCTTCTTTAAAATTCTGTTTGTAAATTTTTGTTTAAATGTATGTACATTTTAGTTTATGTATTTATTGAGATGAATTTTTAATGTCTCAGTTCAATGAAATAAATTGAGAATTTTTTTGGTATTTTTCTCTATTGAATTTGTAATTGATTTAAAATACATATTAGTAATCTTGAAACATCAAGGAAATGGTTTTTATACATATATACAGATATGCATTTATTCATTAGAGCTTACTATTACATTATTCAGATGTATATATAATTTCACATATTTAAAAGAATTGATGTAACAGGGTCTTTAGAGTCAATACTCATTGTTATTATTTTTATTTATACTTACCTGCCTGTAATTTACCATTGTTTTATATTTATCTCTCTAGTAGATGTGAGATTCTGTGATTTAGAAATAGTCTGCAAACTTACATAAAGATCTTATATTTTAATACTTATTATTTAAATTGATATTGAGGTTCTAGATGTAATAAACATTCCAGAACAGTAATTTGGTATGTTTGAATATTAAAAATAAATTATCCAGTATTATCAGGTATGTCTTCATTTCTGCATATGCACAAATTAAGACAAACAAAAATTCAATAGGTATTGTCACTGTATGACATAAAACTCTACGGTATATGACAGATTTGTATAAATATAGAACAAAAACAATATGGTATTTCCATTAGAAATCAACTTTCATAAACAATGTAAAATTAACATGTTATATTTTAGTATCCATAATCTCATACATTAACTTTTTCTCAAAGTAAATATCACCTCACAGGACAAGTAATATTTCAAAATGTTTACCTATCTAAAGTGATGAATTATGTTTTATTCACAAGATAAAAGGTTGGACTGTTTTACTTTCCTTTGCTGATAGTTCTGATCAGAGGTCAAAGACCAAATTAAGAACAACAGTGGTTTAAAAGCAGGGAGGTAAACAGAAGTGTAGTAAAATAAATCAGTATTTAACTATTTTTAAGAACTAAATATTTTCATATATCCGCCCTAATTATTATGAGATTTTTCACTTGGACTTTGTAACTTTGAACAAGTTTGTAAATTCAGGTGTGGGGTGATACTGCACTTTTTCATGGAAATATAATCAAAGAATTATATGCATTAATAATGCACATTTTTCCGGATGATAGCAATACATTCCTTTGATTCTGAAATTATGTTATTTTTTCTTCTTAAAAAGGAAAAATGTGAAGTTAGATATAGTCGTTCAAAACATTTTCCAAACATTAAAACAGAATATGTTTGGTATTTCAATGTACTCTTTCTAGATTTCTGCAAAACTGTACTATAAACAAAATTTAATTATGTACTTGAATACAAATCCCAAAGCATTGAGAAATTTATCATTACTAAACCCTTGTATAAAAGATCAAATGTTAAAACTTTTTCACTTCACCAATGGTAGCTGTAAATTGCTATAAAATAGTTGCAATACCATTAAACATCATAGAGACACATTCAGTTTGCTGCTGAATATTACAAAATCTGAGTGCTTTTTCATTTAATAATGGGACTATGTAATTTAATAAATGAAAATTAAAAAACAACATACATATGACTAAGACTTAGTCTTCAGGAAAGATGAGAACTTTTACTATGACTTAAAACAATGGGTGAGAATTCCTACAGGATAACTTTCAGATTATATTTTGGCCATGAAAGGTAAATGATATTCAGAATATGGTTGGAAGAAAACTAAAAGTAGCTTTTTAACAGCTGTTTATACTTTGTTATCCTTACCCTTTACATACAGGAACATTCATATGGTAAACATATGGACAAATAATATTAGATATGGTCCCTTAGAAATGCAAATCAAACTACACTAAGATTCCATCTCACTACAGTTAGAATGCCAATCATCAAGAACACTAATAACAATAAATGGTGGCCAGGATGAAGGAAAATTGTAACTCTCATACATTTTTGGTTGAAATGTAAATTAGTACAACCACTAGAGAAATCAGCCTAGAGGTTCCTCAAAAAGCCAAAAATGGAATACAATATGATCCAGCTATACCACTTCTCTGTATCTACCCCAAAGAGTTAAAGACAACATATTTTAGAGATACATGGATTCCCAGATTTTTCAGCAGCATAATTCACAATAGCCAAGTTATAGAAGCAGCCTAGGTATCTGTCAACAGATGAATGGATAAAGAAAATATGGTCTTATATCCATAATGGAGTTTTCAGCCATAAGGAAGAATGAATTTATGTCATTTGAAGGACAATAGATGGGATGGGAGAACATCACATTAAACAAAATAAGCCAGACTCAGAAAGATAGTGTCTTAAATTTTCACTCATATGTGGGAGCAATAGAGAATAAAGAGGAAAAAAGGGAGAATTTCATTAAAGTAGAAAACATCAGAATACGGAAAAGAGACCAGAGAGAGGGAGGAGAAAAGGAAAAGAGGGGGGCAAATGGAGAATTAAATGGATTAAATTATGTTATGTGCATGTACAGATATGCCACGGTGAAACCCACTATTCTGTGTAATTAATATGCACCAAGAAAAAAATGTTAAAATACAAAAAAAAAAAGAATGAACCCTTAAGATCTCAATCTTAAGATTGCAACTGGTTTTGTCACTTTTTAGAGTTACACTGATTTCCATGAATAGCAAAATTGTTCTTAAAATTTATATAATATGATAAGTTGTCAGTTAGGATTAAACATATTGTTTCGCCCTGTAAAATCTTAACAAGTGAATAAGAAATTCAATTGAATTAATTTATTTCTTAAAAGAAAACTCTGTGAAGAACTTTTGAGTGGGAGGCTAAAAGGTGGTAAGGTTCTAAAGTGCAATTTTTAAAAAGTGTTTCAACTTCATATATATATATATAATTAAACAGATGGAGGACTGACTCCTAAAAATTACACTGATATGCTATGCATATTGCAACTTTTCTGAGAATCTATTTTTCTATAGTTTAACTTAATTTACCTTTTACCTTGTCCCTCTTTCTCCTTTGAATCTGGTTCTCCTTCATGGCTTTCTTACTTTTGTCAAAGATGGCATATTAGAGACCTGTCATTTTCATTTCTTTGTATGATACATATTTGTCATCATTTCAGGGATGATTCTTCAACAAGTCTTATATTTAATATATACTTTCAATTGAAATATCATGTAACAAACATCATAAACTTACAGTTTTTGCCAAAGCTGCCTAACTGATACCTTTTCCTCTGATTTCCTTCTGTCTCAGTTAAATTTCCATCCCATTAAGAAACTGATAAACTTTTAAAATGTTTTCATTACTTTTTTTGTTTGTTTTAGTTTATACTTAGGTCTCTTATTAATCCAGATTCTTTTAACTGGTTTCAATCTTTACCTCTCTTCCTCCAGAGCCTGATCATAACCTACTTTCTACTCTTATTTATATCACCATCTTTCCAATAATCTGTATTTCCTCCAATCAGTTTTTCTCAGGGACCTTCCGGCGTCCTATTCCCACTTTGCTGTTTACACCTTTACTTACTTCTTGCCTTTCATTGCTATCACTTCACACTGTTTATTTATCCTGTTAAAAATATGTTCCTCCATATTATAGTCTCCTTTTAAAGTACACTACTTATCACTTTCACTTTTCACACATATTTATGCTATTATTAACAAGATGTTTATTTGCTGTACACTTTTAGTCAAAATATATGTAAAAAGAGCTGATATCTTATATGATTGTTTTCTCTAGCCTTCAATTTTTTTAAAAAAATAAATATGTGTTTCAGAAATAATTGTAGCATAATTATTGCATCTGCTTCCTTTTAGGTTCATAGATCAGTATTTTAACATTACAATGTTTAGGTTCACAGTTCACTATTTTAACATTACAATGTTTTTTGTTGTTGTTGTTTGTTTTGTTTTGTTTTGTTTTAAGTGGATCAGGCTGGGAATTTCTCTAGCACTGCCAGAGAAAAAGTTCAATATTTGTGTGGTTATTATGTAAGGAAGTGGGTAGACAATCATGTGACTTTACTATTCTTTTGACATTCTATTCTGATATTATTCCTTTAATATACCAGAGATGCTAAATATAGCATCATAGAATATATGCTTTTCTGTAAACACTGAATAATGAAGGGGTATAACAATTTAGACTTTTTAAACATTAAGGAAAATTAAATATTTTCCCTCAAGCAAATCACACTTTAATTTCTAACTCTACCCTATCACATCACTTTCAAAATAATGCAGAGAATCAGTTTATGTTCACAGTTTTGAGAGAAATTTTAACAAATGTTATGCACAGTAAATCATTCACTGAACACACAAGGGTTAAAATGTAAGGTTTATTCTTCTTTTATCAAGCAATGACTACAGACAGAGCATCCACGTGGTGTAAACTACCAAAGAAAGATGTATGGGACAGACTTACATTAAATCATTAAGTTACAGATATTTTATATGATTCATGTGCACAGGGGAGAAAAACTGCTAAAAATAAAGCAGATTGAATAAGTAGAAACATAAGCTGATTTTTGTTGCTTATTAATCTACCTCCCATAATGTTTCCTTAAGCTAAGAAGAAATCTACTGTATTACACAGCTCAGGATGCTATATACACATAAGATATTACACACTATAAAATTTCAGGTTTCTATGCAGTTTTACACAATGTAAAATTGAGTAAAATTTGTATTTAAAAAAGACCTTATTGAATTACCTTTAGTAAATGGAGGTCATTTCCACAGCCCAGGAGCATTTTTAGCAATAATAATAATAAATAAAAAATAAGTAAAAAAAGATCTCAAAACATGTAAGCTATTACTTCAATCCTGGATAATTATCTGCTTATTTCAAAAAGCCAACTCTTAAGTTTGTTTATGCACTTCTACTGACCTTTCCTTTTTCCCCTTTAAAAACAAAACAAAACAAAAAAAAAAACCCTTTAAATTTTACTTTTCTTCAGTGTTTCAAATAAGAGGATTAGTTAGGTTTTCAACTACACCACACAGTTAGCGAGAAGGTCTTTTGGGAATTTTGTAGGAGTTGAACAGAAGTCATTTAGGGAAATGATTATGAATGAAGTTATTTGATGGGTTATATTTAGATAGCAAAAGCAATAGAGAAGTACATCTTTACTCACCACTGTGGGGCTGTGCCCTTATTCCTAACTCCTATTACTAATTCTCCTAAGCCACTAATGTCTCATTAGTTCTCCTCAGGTTTTTTTTTCTTGTTGTTTTTTGTTTGCTAGTTAGTTTTTGGTTTTTTTTTTTCTCCTGTTAGTTTCCATATATGTGGTTCACGCTGAAGCAGACACAAAATAATGCTTCTTTTAGAAGTGAAATTTCCTGATTATGCAATACCAACACCAGGCTACATGAAAATAATCAATCCTTCTAATAATGAAGAAAACATTTGTAAGCAGTTAAAATCCCAGACAAACTTGCATTAAAAATATAATGCACTCTAGTGACTGAAAGCAAAATGATCAGATAAAACATTACAAACATTTCTACCATAATTATTTTTCCTCCCTTCCTCCCCATTTTCTATAGCATGCTGCAGATTATACAGTAAATGTCAAAAAGAATTTGCCACCTGTATACAACCTAAGGCCAACTTATGCCTTCAAATGACATTTCACTGAGGGTCAAACAAATAACTGAAGGCAGAATTTGGCATAAGAGCTATTAGATATTTTTAATGACAACAGATTTATAGCTATGAGGGTGTTCGTATGCAGCGTTTAGCCTTCCTTTTCCTCCTGTGACATTCCCTTCAAGGCACAAAAGATTATAAACAGTGGACGGGACAGAATATTTTGAATTAAGAATTTTAAGTTTCGAAAAAGCCTTTTATTTCTGGTTTAAGAGTACCAAATGAACAAAGAGAAAATTAGATAAATTACCCTCAAAATGAAATGATACTTAAGTCATCTGAAATTCCCTGCAGATTATATTTTAAGTTTTAAAATCTGTTTTATTGTTTAAAATGTAATTATAATTTTGATTCCTCTGATTGATGTAATTTCTTATTAAATATTGTGTTAAATATTTCTCATCAACCAACATTATCGTGTATGTATTGGTTAAAAACAATCTATTTGGGACAATTAAGTAAATTATGTTTTACTAGGATATAAAATTGAAAAGTTAAGCTGTAATTTAAACAATGGATTAAGTGCAATGTACTGTAAAACTCTTCCTTCAATAATTATACAATAGGGCTCCTTAGGCATCTCCAACCCAAATGACTGTATTTCCTTTCTCAACTTCAGTGATCTCACAGTTTAACTTGTTGAGTCGTCCATCTAGTATGAAGAGAGAGTCCTTGGAAGGTGTCATCAGGTATTGACCAAACAAGCCACTGTCCTGGATTTGCCTATTCTTCCGGTTCCAAGGCCATTCTTCTGCCTTGAGTGGTTCCTTAAGGCTCTTAATCATCTTGACCTTTCCAGAAGAGAGTTCCACAAACAGCACATCAGTTTGTTGGCTTGAACTACCATAAATGTTGTACTGGTGGGCTTCGGTGAAAGACGGCTGAAATGCCAGATCAGATATGTGCAGATTTGTGTGAATATCAAAAGCCTCCTGAATTTCTCCTCTGATGGTGATGTACTGGACCCTCACGACACCTTTCACATCATTAATGCTGACAAGGTAGTGGCCATCTGGAGAGACATATGGAGTGCCTGTCACATCACTATTGAACCCAATGACTGAGTCGGTTACACCATCTACCATGAGCTGCAGTGGGATTGCTCCAGTGCTGTCAGGTTTGCAGCCAATGAAGTAATATCCTCCCAAGTGTGTGTATGCCAAAGACTGAGGAATACAGCTGTAGTCCTTCAAGTTAATTGTCTTGATGTATGACATGGTTTCAAGGTCAATTTTTTGTAGTGCAGCTTCATCTTTGTGAAGAATAAATCCAAACCTAAAAAGATTGAAAACCAAAGTTAGACAGGAAGCTATAATATGGTTACCAGAAGAAAATGGATTAGGGGGAGGTCCATCACAAGACCAGGTTTTGACTGTTGACTATGGTAGAAATTTATGTCAAAATCATGTTAGAACTGATCTTTAGTATCTTTGCCATCTTTTCTCTGGGTCATTCTTACATTACAAACAAATAATTTTCACTCATGCTGTAGAAAGCAAAAAAATTACAATCAATATATGTACAGTTAATTGAAACTACAACAAATTTTGCTTTAAACCTAGAGAGGGAAATCAAACATTATTTTATATATCTCTAAATCTGATATTGAATAAATCAGGTCAAATAACTATAAACTCAAGAAGAATAAAAGATTTGAAAATGTGTTTGTATGGATGTGTATATGTTTGTGTTGTGTGTGTGTACACAGAACACACACACACACATAAAAAATTACTTCATTTATCTTTTTTTTTTCTTTGTACTGCTGGGAATCAAACCCATGTGCATGATAGGCAAGACTTATTTCATCACTTAGCTACAACTACAGGTCATTTACTTTATGTTGTCTCTTGACTATTAAATAAATATTTATCACATTTCAAGAATTATTCACATATTTATACTTTTAATTTATATCAAAGAACTATCTTAATAGATGCAATTTGAGGTATTAAAATATTTGACTTCTACTTACTAATTTTTAGAATTGCTTTGGTTTCAGTTTTATTATAAATTTTAAATACTAGTTTTATTTTTCACCCTTGCCAGGTTTATATTGTTATCATTTTTAATGGTGTACTTGCATTGTACTGGTTATCTTATATTGAATAATGAAAAACTTTGGTATTTTTCTACCAAAGCCAATTAATTTTTTTCTCTTTAATTAGTTCTGTTTTACAGTTCTGGATATTGGCTACAAATTATCAAAGTCCTGTGGCAAATAGCCATATATTTTGAAATTCAGAGCAATAACACAAGCAGATTACCAGGAAAAAATAAGTTAAACAGGAAATGAAATGATGAGAGAGTATTAAGAACATTACATTGAAAGCAGATATTGACCATCAAGATTGTGAAGGTTTATTTATTTATTTATGGTGTTAACAATATTGATTGGATTACTCCCTAATGGTTCAAAAAGCTCCTAACAATAAGAGTCAGGGAAATAGTGTTCTACCGATTTTGCTCATAAGTAAAAACTAAGATGACTTTATTGTGTGTACCAGGATGAAATAAAACAAAACAATAAAATTTCTAAGGATAGTCAATCATTTTATTGTACCCTGTGTCATTTCTGTAGGCTAATTATCACAGGAAGGTCATATGAGAAAAGTCATTTCAACATATTAAACAAAATATGTTGCATTTGATTTCAAATGTAAATATTCACATTTAAAAATAAATTCACATTTAATAGTATAGAAACAATAAATATCATTGTGGATGATAGCAAGAACATAAGCACAGAAATTTACTAAAGTAATGTAATTTTGTGTGACAAATTATAACTGTTTTCTAGAGTTAGGAAACCATATTCCTGTTTCAGCTGTATTTGAACATGTGTGACAAGACTATGTGTTGTCAAGATAACAATAAACATTCGTCTATAAGAAAGGAAAACTGCAATGTATTGCTACCCCTTTAAAAAGCATTCATAAATATTTACTGAACAGCTACTAAATGCAAGGCGTTGGGAGTATATTGAGAATCAATTGAGTGATTAAACAAATCAAAAAACTATCAGTAATTAATAATAATAGCATTCTGCTTCACATTATTTAATCTAGTAGTGATTATTTTTTCTGCATTTTGTAATGGTAGACTTGAAAATACTAATTCTAGTGTATCTCTTAATAATATCCACTATTTCTGAAATTTCTTTTTTTCTGTTCTTAACACAATGTGTTTACTTCAGTAAACACAGCTCATACCATACCTATGCAGAATGCAATTTTTATCCAAATTATGAGAGTATTAAGAAGCATTCATATTGTTTCTATATTAATTTATCTTCTAAATATTCTCCTTAAGGTATTAATGTCTAGTGTAGAAGTATATTGCAAATTTTAAATATTTTCTAAATATTATTGAGTAAAAGAACCTTAATCTAGGAACTGAATCCCATGTTTTTGTTTCCCAGCACAAAAAATATAAAATCATAAGTGTCAGTGTCCATTATCAGACTTAACAAGTAATTATTTCCAGCTTTTGTAAAATAAAAAAATGATACTTTTCCATTAATGGATAATCATCAAGAATATGTAGGTGTGTAGATGTATTGACATTAGTTGTAAAATTATTAGTTATAATGGAAGACATAATTCTTTTTTCTGATATAAATTGTACATGAGCTCAGAGGAAAAGCAGTAATAGGCTCATTTAATAAAAGCCATAAGCCAATCAAGTTTTGGCATTTCAGCTCTCCTTTTAACCTTGAATATTCTTGTCCCTTTGGGCAATGAATTTTGAATGCTAATGAGAAAGAATGAGACAAGCTCACTGTACTCCTGAACTATTTTAACGTTGATAATAAAGAATGTGTGTAAGTTTTCTGTGATACAATCCAGCCTCTTTTGGAGGTAATTTTAAAAAAAAAGAAAGAAAGAAAAGAAAAGAAAAAGCCAGTCCAGTTAAAAATGCAGAAGCTCTATGTGGGGTGATAAAACTGCATCTATTTTGGCATCCACACACTCTGTTCCTTTAGGATTAGAGAGGAGCTACATAAGCAGATGCATGAGAATGTCTTCAATATTTTACCACTGATTTATTGGTTAGGAAGTGTGTCTCTAATTCAAAATTTCCCCCTAGTACAGATTGATATTCAGAAGTCTCCCACTGTTCATTAGACTGTGATTAATATTTACGAGGCTCTCAACTTTCATGCCTGCTTAGTATAATAAAATTCTGCACAGTACTAGTCCTAACATAGTTTGTCTAATATTTATCAGAATGTATATGCATGCTGAGAAATGAGAGAGTTAGAACTTACCCTCAAAGACCACTTCTTTTACTAAAAAATTATTGCCACTAGAAAAGTGTATTCTATCAGCGTAGCATTGTGTGGATTGTCAGACTCAGTGAATTATTTTCTTTTCCAATTTTATTTGTATGTCTATACCATATAGTGTATTATATAATGTATAAGAAGATTCAATTTTAATTACTGTTTGTATGCTTCAAAGTATGGTCTTGAAACAAGTCATATACAGAATACTCCTGTTTTTGACTCAGTAAGGACTGTTCATTCCAGGCTGACTTCGTTTCATGATCAGTTTTTCAGTACAATAGACCATATGTAAATATGGCCTTATGTGAAGTCCTTGACTTCAAAAGTCTTCAATTTACTCATCAGCAGAAGAGGATAAAAGTAATACCTTTCTTTGAGAATAATAGTAAATGCCTATATATCACCAAACAGAAAATTGCCAGTTCTTTATATCTTAAAAAGCATTATTATCCCGTTATAAATACCATAAAATATTTTCTTTGGGACAACACAATATTGTAAACCATGGATGGGAAAAACAAAAGCAAACTTATTGTCAACTTTTCTGCATAGCTAGTATTTCCAGATGTTAAAAATAAACATATAGCATAACCAAAGAGTGATGCTATGCTTTGGATGTCATTTGTTTCCCAAGGGATCATGTGTATGAATCTTAGTCTTTAGTTTGGTACTATACTACTGGTGATGTAGAATTCTAAGAGCCAGAGCCTAATGGAAAGTCACTGGAAGTATGCTCTCATAAGAGAATGTGGGATCCCAATATCTCTGGCCTCCTTGTTTTGTCATGTGATTTTTTCCTCCCAAAGACATTCCTGTCATTGTAGTGTCATATACTAATATGACTCACCACCAGATCTTGGACTTCCAGCCTGCAAATCTGTGGGCTAAATAAACCTCTCTTTAAAATAAAGTTATCTGACTCTTGCATTTTTTATAGCAATGAAAAATCGACAAATGCTCATGAATGTATTTTCCATTGACAAATATTAGAGAGATCCTACTAACAATACAAATTCATGTTTTTCTTCTTCTTCTCATTTTTATCCACACTATGTATGTCCAGTTCACACCTTATCCAACCACAAAATCTCTAACACTGTTAAGATTAGAGTCTAGCTCACTCCACTGCTTTTTCTCATTTGAAATTGGATCTTGCTATAATGCTCAAGAAGCTCTATAATTGCTAGGTTCTGGCCATCCTCTGCCTCAGCCTCCCAAATACCTGGAATTACAGATGCTCATTACCATTCCTCACTCTCACTCTACCTCTGTTAAAGGTTCTGCCTGAGTACTTGCTGAGGATATCGTGCACTGGGCCATGATGTACTGAGTAAACCTAAGCTTAGCACAGATGATTGGATTTGGAATAGATATTTGACTTACTCAATATATTTTTTTCCCTTCAAAATCACAGAAAATCCTGTGGTTGACTTTAGGACCTAGAAATCTAGGAAATCTTCTGGAGAGTTGCTGTTAGTGTTTATGTCATGGCAATTGAGAAGTCTTGCAAAGGAAGCCATTTGGCATAGAATAAAAAATATATATATTTAGAGAAAAGCATGGTCGGTTGAAACACTATGAAACTTGATATAAGTAAGTGCTCCAAGATCTGCAGATGACATAAGGAAAGACTTACTCATTTCTTGAAATTTTAGTAATGAACGAGTTTCCCATTGTCCCTCCCCCAGACAGCTCTTGAATGGGTCTGTTCACCCCAAATCTCACAAGACTGTTTTCAGTCACAGTCACCCCACAACATCTGCCACGTTATTTCACTGCTATTTCATTTATTTCATTTCAGTTCCCCCATGATATTCTTCTTCAACACCATCATCTGCACCACTTCAGACATCAATTCCAAACCTTGCATACATATCGACAAATGAAAATGGAAAGTAGTGAGAGGAAGTTGGGGTGTATTTGAGAATTGGTTTATCCAAACACTGTATCCTGTCATAAAAATCAACGGTGCTACAATCCACATAAA